GGACCGTCTTGGGGCCTTAGGCCGGCCCTCAGTCTGCTTGGGCCGTCTTGGGGCCTTAGGCCGGCCCTCAGTCTGCTTGGGCCGTCTTGGGGCCTTTGGCCGGCCCTCAGTCTGCTTGGGCCGTCATGGGGCCTTTGGCCGGCCCTCAGTCTGCTTGGGCCGTCTGGGGCATTAGGTCAGGCCTTGGTGTGTTTCTGCCAGCTCTCCAGACTTCCCTGCTGCTTAATGAGGGTTTCTAGTGCTGACCAAGCTCTTCACTATGATTAATTGCCCACTGGTTCGCTCTACACCCTGGGATCTGTGATCCTGAGCTTATCCTGCTTATCGATTGGAGAGGTAATTAATGTCACCTGCTGGAGCAGAGGAGAGATGTCTCCGATTTACTGATTGGCTGGATGGCCAGAGATTGGCAAAGTGCCTGCACTTCCATTTGTGTGTTTTTCAGGAAAAGCAACTTTGTGTATGTGTGGGTGTGTGCTTGTGTGTGTGTGTGTGTGTGTGTGTGTGTGGGTGGATTTGCACGTCCCTTTCCATCATGGTTTCCTGTCACAGCTTTCCAGGCCTTTCCGGGTGTGATGAATGGCATCATGATGATGCAGTTTGGAACATGGCCAGTATGTTACTGCTGATTGCAAACCCATAAGCTTCCAGCACTGCTTCTGTATGGCGTGTGTGAGTGGAGATGAATGGAAAAAAGGGGTGGGGGGAATATCGGGGCAGGATGGGCAGGCGGAAGGAGCCTCCTCATGAGATGGCCCTGACCTGCTATCCCCTCCTCAACCAACAGGGAGTGTGGTTTGCACCCTGGTCCAAAGGCAGCCCCCAGGTTCCTTTCACCATGTCTGGATGGCTGCCCTCTACCTGCTGACAGATGGCCTCCGGATGCCCGTTAGGATGATGATGGCACGTTTCATCACATGCTCTGGCATGGTGGCTCGTGGCTCCAACAGGAGAGATGATCCTGGATCAGCAGCAAAAATGTCAGTCCATGCCCTGGCAGGGCGGCCCAGGGCTCCGTCAGGAGAGATGATCCTGGATCAGCTGCAGAATCGCGAGTCCATGCCCTGGCAGGGTGGCTTGTGGTTTTGTCAGGAGAGCTGATCCTGGATCAGCAGCAGAATCACAACTCTGCACCCAGGCAGGGCAGCCTATGGCTCCATCTGGAGAGCTGATCCTTGATCAGCAGCAGAATTGCAAGTCCGTGCCCTGGCAGGGCGGCCTGTGGCTCCATCAGGAGAGCTGATTCTGGATCAGCCGCAAACACAAGTCCGTGCCCAGACACAGCTGAAATGCCCAGGACGTTCCTGGGAAATATATCATGGGTAATTGGAACTGAATTGGATCCCATTGGCACTCGATACGTTACAGCCGCGGCGTTTATGGCAGCGCTGGGATCCGGTGTGGTTCGGAGATTTACGCCAGGGCCGCTTCCAGGGCCTGGGCCTGACCCCCCTGCCCCTGTGAGTGCTCCGGTGCCCCCTGTCTTTTTGGGGTGTGATTTACAGCCACGTGTGTCAGGCTTGCTAAGCTGGAGTGATTAAACGGCCGAGGTGTGTCACGGCAGAGAAGATGCAGGTCCATCTAACTGGCCAGGCCTCGCATCTGAACCGTGGCTTCATGTAGCTGTACGGCGCCCCCAGCTGGACGGCACCTGCTATTCTCATTACCTCTGCTTTTCCCATGGGTCCTACATCTGTACCTGTCTAGGTCTATATGTGTTTAGAAATGAACAACAGTGATAGACCAGAATATATCATTTATTTAGCAGATTTATGTATAGATTATATACAGCTGAATATATTTCATATATTTTATATTTTACTCTCTTTTCCCATGTTCTTATTCTCATATTCACAGCTGCTAGGAGTGACCAGAGTCACATTTCATTTCATGTTGTATGTGTACATGTGTACGTGACAAATAAACCTCTTGAACCTTGCTATCCAAAGCAATGTTTTTGTTTTTTTTCCCTGAGGAAGCAGGGTCAGAAAATCCCAGGACCAATTGTGGTTTAGGGGTCTTGCTGATGGACCCAACGGTGAAACCACAGTCCTGACCCTTGGATTGGAACCTGGGTTCGACTGACCAGCAGGAGCTTAGCTCTAAACTGGCAGTTGGGATGGAGGCAGCCTGAGTCTAACACAACGATAACCCCAAGCAGAACGGCCAGAAAAGCATACGCCTTAAATTGGACCCCCTGGCGTGTGACCCTTTCCGTCCACACTGTGCTTGAGCAGGAGCTCCTGCTTTCGACCCCCCCCCCCCGAGAAGATGAGCAGGAAGCGGAGCACAGTCAACCTCTGACCCTCCTCTTTGAAAGCTGCCCCCCCACATATGTGTTTTCTTAGCCCCTGACAACTGCGTGACATGAACGCCCCTCTGTTGTTGGAAAAGCCATTGGGTGGGGCGTGTCCCCAGCGCATAGGCGCATCAGTGGGGGTGACCTTTGACCTGCCCCTCAGGGGCCCTGATTGGCTCTCCCTCCGTTCCGGTCATCAACGTACTTCACACACCTTGAATGGATTTGTCGGTTCGGGCTCTGTGACCGAAGGGGACATGCTGATGCTGTTACGGTGCCCCAACCCCCCACCACCACCACAGTCATCTGGTCATAATGTGCGGGAGAATTGGACAAATTAGCCTGCGCTTGTTTAGCCTAATTGACTGTAATGATACCTCCCTGGGATTCTAGGAAACGAGAACCAGAGGGGCTGGCCGGTTTGCTACCGCATGCTACTGACTTTCTTCCTCTCTGGTCTGATCGTCACAAGCTTCCTGTTCCCTCCTTTCTGGTATGTTGCCCCCCTATTGACGGCAGATGTCTGTGCTTGTGATCACCCCGGCAGGTGCAGCCGGACGACAGGGTGGTGCAGACGGACCTGGGCCTGATCATCCGGGACCTCCGACGGCGAGACGCAGGGGTGTACCACTGCGTGGCCCAGGAGCAGCACTTCGTCCGCACAGTCCTGCGGATGGCACTGCGGATACTCGACGGGACCCGGCTGGGCTCCGGAGACCCTCCTGCGGAGCCACCCCCACGATACAAGGACTACCTGCATCTGGCTGGGAGCCCGCTACCTGCCGTGGAGCGCTACTGCGAGCAGGTGTGGCTCCGGGACCGGAAACCGTGGCATAGAGTGCCCTCTGCTGGCAAGTGGAAGCACCTGCAGGAGAAGAAGAAGAGCCGGAACCGGAGGCAGGGGGCAGAGTCCCATCCCCGTTGGGTTCCCCATGGGTCCTAATGCTGCCTGCTCCGACGTTGTCCCTAGTAGGGTGTGTGAGGGCTGAGTCAGCAGGTGTTTGGCAGGATGCCCCCCCCCGCCCCACCATGCTGTACAGCTCTGCACATTCACTTTGGCTATGAAGGGCCTGCTGATCAGGTTATGGCTGTTTAGGTTGATTTTTTTTTGTACAAAATGCCTGTTGTTTTTTCTATTGAGCATTATTTATGCTGTTTTTTTTAGCTAGTTGACTGAATAACGATTGTTTAACTTTAATTATAATTTTTTAAAATTTCCAATAAGGTATGTTTTCGTATTGTACATATAAATTAAAATGCCTTTTACAATGTCCTGGTCCCCATAAGGGAAAACTCAATTTAATAAAAATCTGTTACTGCAATGAAAAAAGTAAAAATGCAAAAACTCTTGTATTTTGCTTGGTTACTTATGGTTATGGTTAGGACATGTGGGTGTGTGGGGGATGTGTGTGGGTGTGTGTGTGTGGGGGGGGGGGTGTGCTCATACCTGAGTACCTGAGACCCCATGATGTAAAGTGTCAGTGCTTCACAGAGGGCTGGGGCTGCAGGAACAGACTCCAAAGGCAGCATGTTAAACCCCCTGCTGGCGAGGCTTCCGGAAGGTTCCCATCTGCTCTCAGGTAGCTGGTGACTGTCCAGGGCAGGTTTCACGGGACTGAGGACCATCCCTACCATCCATCTCTGCCCCTTAAGAAGTACCTTAGCTGGAGCAATGAGAAACAGGCTGAAGACAGTAACCCTTCTGGGTATCAAACAGCAGCGAGGCGCATAAAACAAACATATTACGTGGAGCAAGGCAGAGTGCAAAGACAGAAAGTGGATATACTGCAGACAAGCAGACAAATTACAAGGTAATTTAAAAAAGACACAGGACACAAATGGAATATACTGAAAAAAGAGAATATTAAGGAGATAAATATCAAAAAAGAAGTAATTAATTTGTGATGGTATATGTGAAATAACAAAGACATTTAAATGACATAGCAGGGTAACATTTTTCCGACTTCTAGATTGTAGACATTGGAGTTGATGATCTTAGGCCTTGAAAGCTGGTGTATGGTAAATCTGCTGTTCTGTCCTGTCACATAACTCTGCTCCTGGGGGAGGCCCATGTTGATTTAGATGGTAAAGTCGTCAGTGAGTCACGAGAGAGTGAGAATATGCATGTTGCCTCTGTCCACAGCAGCAGAGGAGCTGCAGATTGCCTCTGTGATGCAACCAGGTTCCTCTTTGATCTGACAGGGTCCTGCATGACCACAGCTGTAAGGGGTCACTCTCGTAAATCACCCTGCTGCTGACCTGTGCTGACCTTATCCAGCTGCTTCGTACACAGCGCCGACCTCACGGGACTTCCTAGGGCCTCATGGGTCTTCTCCTGGTCCTCTCTCTCCGTCTTGTTGTGTGGGGTAGTCACTGATTGGCTAGGAAGTCCCACTCCGGGGTGAATGGGAAGCAGTTCTCAACTGACAACTCTTATGTTACCCTTGTGTTAGTGCTTCCTAAATCCTGTCTATCATAATGCCTATGATATTTTTTGCATAAGTCTGGATTTACGTAAATCAAGAGCTGCCTGTACTGGAAAAATCTCCTGATTCCTGTCCCCTGATTCCTGCCCCCACTTCCTGCTCCCTCCTTCATGTCCTCTGATTCCTGTCCTCTGATTCCTGTCCCCTGCTTCCTGTCTCCATTTCCTGCTCCCTTCTTCCTGTCCCCTGATTCCTGTCCTCCACTTCCTATCCCCTGCTTCCTGCACCTTGCTTCCTGTCCCCCGATTCCTATCCCTAGCTTCCTGTCCCCCGATTCCTATCCCTTGCTTCCTGTCCCCCGATTCCTATCCCTTGCTTCCTGCCCCCACGTCCTGTTTGGATTAGAGCTGTCTGAACATCTCTCATATGGTGCATATTTTCCATAGGTTTTGCTCTCACCCTGTTTCAGGGTGGCTACTGAAAGCTTATCTGGTGCTGGGGTCCTGTTTGGATCCCAGCCCATCCCCCCACCACCCCCGCCCGGTCTCGGTGTCCCCCCTACTCTGCCTCGCATCTGATCTGCTTCCAGCCCTGCCGTCGAGCCAGATGCCCCCTCCCAGCCTGCAGAGACGGACCGCGCGCTCTGCCAACTCGCCCGGCTCCACAAGGCTTGACCTTGGCTGTGTTTACTTGGCCACCCGTGATCCCAGGTACGAGGCGTGGGGCCCACATGTGGCCGGCCTTCCATTCCACAGAACACACCCAGATCCTGGGTTCGGGTCACAGTGTACCCCGTGCTGAGACCCTCCTGTCTACACAGACTGATCGTTTCAGTCATTTCTACAGCTGGATGTTTTGCTTGTGCTCTAGGGTACCTCTGCTACAGAATTACAAGTTGGTGTCCTTAAGTACCATGCACCCTACTGGGCTTTTGTGCACTTTCAACTAGGACTTTTATGCTGAGCTACCAGAAATTTTGGCAATTTGTGGAGTGTAACTGAAAGATGACTCACTCCATTAAACTCCTCACTGAGCACCTTCGATGCAGCACAAATGTTTTCAGACAGCGGAGAACATGAAAATGATGCCGACGGATCCCTTCTGTTAAGGAATCGTAATTCCAGTGTGAGTCGGTGAGAATGAGAAAGATGGTCACATGATCCTAGCACGCTGAAAAGGGGGGCGTCCTTCTGCAGGCCGCTGTGCCAAACTTGGCTGGGTGTCTGACTGGAGGTGAGGCTTGGGAAAAGCGTTAAGTAGCTTGTGCCCAGAGACGACAACAGCTGCCCAAACAGAGAGCGTCCCAAGCGCTTGGAGTAAGTGCAGGGTCAGTGGAGCGCAGATTCACTTAACATCAGCAGGCAGACAGAAGCAGGGGGGTGGCCGGGTGCACTCAGTGCCACTTTCAGGGGGGTCACGGTAAGATCCCAAACACCTGATCAGCCCCCCCCCCCCCCACATCCCACTGATCCCAGCAGGTTGAGCTTTGAAGGACTTCACTTTCAAAGCGGGGGGTCAGCCTCGTTAACAGGTTCTCGTCGCTGTTAATGTCGTTCCCGTGGAGGGGGGGGGGAGCTGTCAGACTGCAGACAGACAGGCCTGCTCAGGTGTCCGTCACATCGTCACTGGCTGTTTCATGGAAGAATCTGCAGCTGCAGCCGTGAGAATCAGCAGGAGCTTTAAATGCTCTTCCATACCTGCTCCCCCCCAAGGCTGAGGTCACCCCTACACCCCACCACTGGCCTGAAACCCCCCCACACTCAAGGAGGTGCCTCGAAACAAAATAAATGTAAAGCCCCCCTGTCTGGCATGATGTACCTCACTACTGTACCCCCCCTCTCCTTCTAAATCTCCTTTCTGATGATTTGTGCGTCTTATTTTAGCTGAGAACCATGTAACACAGATCTGGGTATCCTTCCTGGATCACTCTGAGGGCAAAGTCATTTTCCTCCAGATAAAAAAGCCGGTTCCTCCTGCCCTGTGATCTGGGGGGTGGAGGGGGTGGGGGGGGAGTGTGTGAATACCTCTTTGTTTATAAGTATCTCGCGTTTGTATATGTCTGTATATCACCGGGACAGACATAAAAGCAGACTGACCCAGGTTTAATCTCGGTGCTGCCGGAACACAGCCGTTTTCCAGACGACTTCAAACGCCGGGAGGTGGAATATTTCATGTTATGTCATTGCCTTAATGAGAGAAGAGGCTCTCTGGTCAGAGACATGGAGAGATGCTGTTCCCCCCCCCCCCCCGGAGCTGCCCAGAGAGGTCAGGGTGATGGCCAGTGTGATTTGGCAGCATCTCATGGGGCTAAACCTCACGGTTTCCCATATACCTTGGACCTGGAATGTGGTGCCTTCGAACCCTGAGCCAACCAACCAGCCCTCCCTGCTCCACGGGTGGTCAGTGTGTGGCTCAGTGGTTAAGGATACTGTGCCCCTGATCAGAAGGTCACCAGTTTAAATCCCAGGGTCAGCAGAGTGATGTCACTGTTGGACTCCTGTGTCAGGGTCCAGACTGTCTCTTCCCCATGTGGCCGACAGCTATCACTGGCCATCCCCTTTGTGGTCTCATTGTGGTCTCATTGTCGTTAGCCCTAGTGTGTTATTCTGGCTGCCCAGACTGCTGCACGGCTCAGTGGGTTGACTGTGTGGTGCAGAGGCTGGAACTCTCTGGTCATGGGTTTAAGGCTAGAATCAAACCACTCTCATCTGTTTCGTATAACTATTGTTTTTCCTGTTCTCCATAGTGTTTATGAGTTCTATGTTCTCCTTTTGATGATTCTGCCTTGTTTTATTATGTTCCCCATGTTCCTATATTTTGTTGAATTCCTAGTGTGTGATTAGGATTTCTTAACTTCAGCGTTTGTTCAGTTTCCCTGGTCTTGTGTTCATTAGTATAAGTTACTGCACCTGTTGCCTGTTTTCCCTGCGCTGTTGTTGTCGCGTGATTGTCTGATGTTCCACACCTTGCCCCTCTCGTTAGCCCAGTTACCTTTTGCATTTAAATGTCTGTCCCTGCTTTGTTCTTAAGTCAGTCATTGTGTTCAAGTTACTGAGTGTGTTGTTGCTGCCTTTGTTGCGCTTTTCCCCTCGTTGTTACTGTTTGATATTTTTGCCGTTAGTTCTTGTTTCTCTCATTTGCGTTTGACCCCATGTGGTCCTTTTATTTTGTGTTTTACCGCTTGGTGTTCTGTTCCGTTTTCTTTAATAACCCCCCTTGTCTTAGAGCCGTAAGTGGGCCGTCGCTCTCATTTCCCGCCTGCACCGTGCCCCGTGCCTAATACCCTGAGCAAGGCCCTTAACCCCCAATCGCTCCACTGGCTGAACCTGCTTATTTTGGATGAAGGTGGTTTAGGCCAGTTCCACCTTCTCATTTGTAAGAAATGTCCATAAATCAGCAGGGAGTGAATATTAGAGGGATTGAATGCTGACCCAGGTGTCTGTGGTCCTACAGGTGGCGGCTGCTCTCTCGTGCAGGACTCCAGCAGGTTGGGGGGGGGACTGATTGGCAGGATGATGACAGCAGGCGGGACCGAAGGTACGTCTGTATGTGAAAGAGGCGGCTGTCTGCGTGGGGCTGATAACGGCCTGTGATCATGCTTGTGATTTATAGCTCCTGCCTTACAGGCTCGTGGGAGCAGCTGTACGGTGATGGAGTCTGACATACTTATAGGTTACTTAGTATTTCATGAGACCACGACTGACATCTCAATTCATGAAAGGTATGGTGTGTGTGTGTGTGTGTGTGTGTGTGTGTGTGTGATCCCTGTTTGCAGAAAGAGTGTTATACAGTTGGGCATAAAAGGGAAAATGTGCATTTTATTTATATCACATTTTATAGAAGGATGATTGTCTTTGTAGGCGATTCTTAGTGCTGTTTTTAATGTTTCTGCGCATTTCCTCTTTGATCTGCTGCCATTTTCTCTGGCTGAAGTTTGCATCCCACTCTCGGTGTTCTGGGCTCGCTGGTGCCGATGACTCACAGCACAGACACAAATAAACGCAGCAGATAACCTCCAGCACCATTTTCCACTTGTTTAAAATACACTAAATATACTGATGTATCTGTGGAACTATTAATGATATTTTTGTATTGTGTGTTAGATGAATGAATGTCACCAAAAGCTTTAAAATCTGATGTCTTTCACTGCAGACATCTCAGGCTGTCTGGATGCCGTCTGTGCTCTGCATCGTTTACCGCCCCCTGGGGGTGTGGGGGTATAAGGGCACCTAGTCCACCGGTGAAGTCGCTTTATTGTCATTCGCCGGGCTTTGAACACATCTCAGCCCTTATTCATACCAGCTCAATATTGCCTGACTGCGTCCAGCTTGGCAAAGACCTCACTGCTGGATAGGTGTTATGTAACGCACATTTTTGAGAGAAATTCACAGAAAGCTCTTGTCACGCTCCAGTGGTGCTGGCTGTTGATCCTCTGCGTATATCAGGGTTATTTTAATGAGAGGATTAAGGGAAATTAAAGCAAAGTGCTCCGTCCCCCTGTGGGATAGTTAATGCGTGTCCAGACTCACCCCTACATGTGTTTCCTTTAAGCCGCTTGCACATTTATCGCAGCGATTTGTTCAAGCAGGAGTAGCGTTCGTCATGAGGGAGACCCGCTGCGCGGCAAAGGCTGTGCGGCTCCCAGCTGACGCCATTCAGTCCGACGTGCTTCGCAGTGCTGTCCAGGAAAAACACGTCCAAGCCCTGGGATGTGGCCTCCTCAGAAACATCTAGAGCTCGCGCTGTTTTTTGTGGTGGCTACATCTGAGCGGCAGATGAGGGACGGCATTCCAGCGGAGGTATTTGTTGAGTCCCGAGTTTGTTTATGAGCCATTGGAGTGTGATGAACAGCCTAAGTGATGGAGATGGATCTCATAACCACACCGGTGTTTAGACACACATGCAGGCAACAGAACCATTAGCGGAGACGCAGTGAGATTGAAGATGCCCGTTTCCTGCCAAAGGATATACAGCATTGTTTTTTCTTGAAAGTGAGAGAGAATTAACATTTCCAAATTTAGCAACCGATCAAATCAACATATCAGTCTTATTTGACAGATACAGAGTTGCACACAATGTGCAGTGAAATGCTTGGTTACCCAGCATCAAGAAACATGGATATAAGAAGACATTAGACATTAAGTGCTAATCATAAATATCCATAAATTTAGTACAGTTGGCAGTGGCAAGTGACAGGTGGTAGTGCACAGAATACATAAGTCTGATTTATAACATAATAGCAGCCTGTGATTCACACAGGCCTGTGAAAGCATGTGACCTGATTGCTTAGGGAATGACTTTATCTACATTGTGTTGTCACCCCGGTAACATCAGCGTGCTAATGCGCAACCGTGGGGATATCCAGGGATTAGGGGAGGTGGGGGGGAATGGCAACCACATGTTTACTAAAGAGGTTCAGCTCCGGTTTCAGTCTCCAAGCATGTCCCAGTCGCGTTGTTTTTCTTCTGAATGCGACTCTGCTGTCAGATGTCATTGTGACCTTTCAGCTTGCCGTGTTCCCTGCACATATGTAACGCCCCCATGTGAACAGGGCCTCCTGGCCCTCAGCCACAGGGGGCTGCAGTGCTGCACAGGTGTCCCATTGTGTCACGTGACACCTGGGGGAGGCACCCACTCTTATCTTTATGCTAAGCCCCTTGTTTCCGGAACGTTCCCTGTGAAGCCTGGGCTGGTGACGAGGGCTTGTGGAAGGCATGTGAGTGATAAAGGCCAGGCCCCAATCGATGCATCTAAACTCTCACGGTTATTTGCTTATAACAGAAAGGACTTTTGAAAGTAATTATGAAGAGACTTTAATTTCATAAAGGAGACGCCCCCACCATGAGTAATAAAGCAGATTAACTGCTCAGATGCTTGCAGGCTTTAGAAGTCCCTCCACGGTGAAGCAGCTGCCCAGATATACTGCTTTCAAGCTGTACCCAGGTGGGGGCTGATTAACGGTGTAATGAGGGTCCAAGTGCGTATGAGACTCTGCTGGCTCTCTTAGTGTCTCTCTGTTTGTCAGCCTGTCTCTTTGCTGCCTGCCTCTCTCTCCCTGGGGCAGCCTGTCTCTTTGCCTGCCTGCCTCTCTCTGGGGCAGCCTGTCTCTTTGCCTGCCTGCCTGCCTGTCTCTCTCTCTCTGGGGCAGCCTGTCTCTTTGCCTGCCTGCCTGCCTGTCTCTCTCTCTCTGGGGCAGCCTGTCTGTCTGCTTCAGTCCTGATGTTTCCTGCATGCCTTTTCCTGACAGTTTTTCCGCATTAAATCTCCTGTCTTTCCAGCCTTTTCTAGACATTCCTGGATATGTAACTCTATCGATCACTTTTTCTGGATTGTTCTCTCTGAACCATGCAGACTATGGTATCGGGTTGCTCCCTCCATGCGGGAGTGCAGCCTGGCTTGTGTTTCACGGTGGGGCTGCCAGGGGCATGTGATGCTGGAGGCTGGTCACATGACCTGACAGCTCTCAAAGTGACAGTCACGAAGGATGCCCTGTGACATTGGTGATCTATGCTGGAGGCAGGATTTTGTTTTCCTGTTATATCTGTAGAATGGAATGTGACATGTTTTCACATTTGCCAGTGATGTACTTTATGTTTTCAGTTTTTACTGATTTTTATTATTAGTATTAATTACTAATTGCAAACACTGTCCGTACAGTTTTTATGCCAATGGTTACTCATGGGAGTAATGTGGTAAGTTCAGTGTAATGGGCCACAGGTATGAGGGCACATTTGCGGCATGAAGGCTGAGTTTGGCGCTGAGGCCAATTATCCTGATCCTATTTGTTATTTCAGAGCTGCCCTGTTGAAACAGGGCTGGCTGACTTACAGTTCGGGGGGGTGGGAAGCAAAATGTGGTTTAACCGTGTCAGGAGTGTCTGTGAAGAGTCAGACATAGAAGAGCGACTCCTGTGGATTCTCTGATTACTTCTTACCCCCCAATGGGAAAATGTACGAAAGAAGGAACCTGCTCCTGTCTCCCAGCCAATTTTCCAGCTCAAGATCACGGGGGACCCTGGGGCCAGACCCAGGCTGTGAGCCTGCAGTGCGGATACATCCGCATCCATCAGGGGGCACTTGCAGTAGATTACACGTCCCATAGGAGATAGCTTTCTTCCAGGATCACTCCCCCTGCTCCAGTATGGCCTCCAGTGCAGCTTCCAGTAAGGACTCCAGTTTATTATGCCCCTTATTCACATTTAAATCCTGGCTTTGTTCGACACCATGATGTCCACGGTATGCTTGGAAAACAAAACAGTCCTTCAGCAAGCAGGAGTCTGCTGAGTCAGCATGGGTGTCCTTTACCAACTCTACCCCCCCCCAACGAAACCACAACCTCACGACACTCACTGGGGCATCCCACAAAGGACTCCCTGCGGGCCGGAGCTGAGAATGGCCTCCCCATCGATTTGAGGGTGGTGCTGTTCCCTCTTTTCTATTTATCTTGGGAAAGGCAGAGACTCGTTTGGAAGGCGGTGCAGCAGTGTGGATAACTGCCATAACCCCCAAAAGAGTCAGACATCGGGAAATGTTAGTCACACGTGCTACTGGAGGCAGGCCTAGCTGAGAAGGGACAGTGTCCCCCAGTCCATAGCACTCTCTCTGGGGCAGATCCGGTGGCTAATTCAGATGCGGCCCAGCCTGAAGTCGGCAGCATTTAAATATAGTGCCTAAGGACACAGAAATATAGACAGTACAACAGGAATAAAGGGCAGCTTTGGTCCAATTCACTTTCAGGGGCAGGACACACATACAGAGAGAGAGGCTGCGCTTTCAGCTGAAAATACAAGCTGAGATCAGGCGCTGTGTATGAATACAAGGTGATCAGGTTCCAGGGTGTCCTCTGACTTATGCCCTGTGATGGACAGGGTATATCCTATCCAGAGTGTCCCCTGCCTAGTTCTCTGTGAAGGACTGATGTCCCATGCAGGGTGTACCCTGCCCTGTACCCTATGATGGACTGGCGTCTCGTACACGGTGTACCCTGCCCTGTACCCTATGATGGACTGGTGTCATGTACACTTTGTACCCTGCCCTGTACCCTATGATGGACTGGTGTCTCGTACATGGTGTACCCTGCCCTGTACCCTATGATAGACTGGCATCCCGTACAGGGTGTCTGCTGTCCTGTACCCTATGATAGACTGGCGTCCCGTACAGGGTGTCTGCTGTCTTGTACCCTATGATAGACTGGCGTCCCGTACATGGTGTACCCTGCCCTGTACCCTATGATAGACTGGCGTCCCGTACAGGATGTTTGCTGCCCTGTACCCTATGATGGACTGGCGTCCCGTACATGGTTGTACCCTGCCCTGTACCCTATGATAGACTGGCGTCCCGTACAGGGTGTTTGCTGCCCTGTACCCTATGATGGACTGGCGTCCCGTACATGGTTGTACCCTGCCCTGTACCCTATGATAGACTGGCGTCCCGTACAGGGTGTTTGCTGCCCTGTACCCTATGATGGACTGGCGTCCCGTACATGGTTGTACCCTGCCCTGTACCCTATGATAGACTGGCGTCCCGTACAGGGTGTTTGCTGCCCTGTACCCTATGATGGACTGGCGTCCCGTACATGGTTGTACCCTGCCCTGTACCC